CAGATGTATGAGTGAAGAAACCTCCAGATGATTCCAGGTCCCAGCTGTTCTGAGTGAATCCTCCCCTACCCCTTCTAGTCTTCTCTGCTGATAGTGCAAACATTGTGGAATAGACACAAGCCACCTCAGCTGGGTCTCATCTGAATTACTGACTACAGAATATATCATAAAATGGTTATTTTGGGGGACACCTGGGTAGCTCAGTGGTTTGGCTCAGGTCTGATCCTGGGATCCTGGGATCGAGTCCCACATCGGGCTCCCCCGCAGGGAGCCTGCTTCTCCCTCTGCCTATGTCTCTGCCTCTCTCTGTGTCTCTCATGAATATATAAATAAAATCTTTTTTTTAAAAAAAGGTTATTTTTGTACACCATGTTTGGTGGGAGGTTGTTACACAGCGGTAGCACCCAGAACACACATCAAATTGGCAAGCGAGTTCCATGATTCCACCTGGAGACATCACCTGCATCCTTCCTTTCCATCCCACCTATGGCTGCCTGGGTTCAGCCCTGGGCATCTCTCATTCCCCAGCTGATTCCCAGTGTTCAGTTCACTTTATCTTTCCTGCAGCAGCTAAAGTGACTTTGCCAAGACATAATGACATCCGATGACATTATTCCCCTGCCTCAGAGGCTCCACATTGCTCATAGAAGGAGATAAAAGCTCTTTAACAGCATGTTTGAAGCCTTTATGGCCTGCCACTCCAGCTTTATCTCTTGTCTCTCTACGTTTTATCCCAACCAACTCTTTCTGTTCTCTGGGCAAACCAGGCTTTGTGCACTTCCGGCTCGTCCTTCCATTTGCTCCTCCTACCTAGTTGTGTGACGCATTCCATGCACCTCTTCAGCTCTCTTGCTGCATGTCAGGAGGCTGAAGCTTTTGTGGGCTGCAACAATGTGCTCCCTTGCCCCCCCCCTTTTTAGCGATTTTTTTTTAAAGATTTTATTTATTTATTCATGAGAGACACACAGAGAGGGAGAGGCAGAGACACAGGCAGAGGGAGAAGCAGGCTCCATGCAGGGAGTACAAAGTGAGACTCAATCCCGGATCCCCAGGATCACACCCTGGACCAAAGGTGGCGTTAAATCACTGAGCCACCCAGGCTGCCCTCCCTTGCCCTTTTGCTGTCTTTGAGTCCACTGATGGGAAGCACCAGAGGGAAGTTGGGGCACCAGAGAACAGTGAAGTTTGGGTATCCATCCTATGGCTCCCTCCCTTCCAGACTCTGGGAGATCACTGCTCCTGTTGGTCTTCTCTTACAACTGGGCTCTCTTCCTCTGGATTCTGGTCCCAAGACTCTCTATTACCTGTGTGGTTCTCCTCTCTTGGCAGTAGGAACTTGCCTTTGTAGCTTAGGGCCTAGCACCTTGCAAGGTATGCGGCCCTTAGCAAGTGTTGAGTTAATGTTTGTTGTATGATTGATGGCTGCACTCAAAAAAAAAGGGCTCTAGGGAGGGTCATAGGAGCCAAAGACAGGCACTCTTCCTTTACACTGGGCATAAAAGGAGGACACGGCACATTTTCCATATAGGAAATCACAGCTAAGAACCTACTAGGGAATCACCAAATTAGTAAGGATAAGTAATTTCTTTAAACTTTCAAAAACTCTGTTTTGCTATTACTTTTACTTGTATAAATCCAGTCTTTTTCCTTAAAAGTTTTGACTATATACGTTTTCAAGCACACATACAAAAGTAGAGAGAGCAGGACAAGGAGTCTGCCACATACTCAACACAGATTCAACAATGACCAAGATTCAGTCACATTTGCCTTATCTTGCCTGTGTGTTCTTTGTCTTGCTTTCTTTGCTACAGTATTTTATTTATTTGTTTATTTATTTATTTATTTATTTATTTATTTATTTATTTATTTAAAGATTTCATTTATTTATTCATAGACACAGAGAGAAAGAGGCAGAGACACAGGCAGAGGGAGAAGCAGGCTCCATGCAGGGAGCCTGATGTGGGACTCGATCCTGGGACCTCAGGATCACACCCCAGGCTGCAGGCAGCGCCAAACCGCTGCGCCACTGGGGCTGCCCTGCTACAGTATTTTAGAGCAAACTCCAGTCTTTGGGCCATTTTGCCTTTATACACTTCAGTATGCACTAAATAATAACCAACAGTGTTTAAAAAACAATGGTGGAATTAGAGAGGATGTCAAGTTTAACTTGGAGACAGCAAACATGTGGTGGGGATAAACAGGTATTTTTTCCACTTAGATGTGTTAGCAGTCACATTCCCCAAGACAATATTAATATTTTTTCCTTCCTATGGAGGTAAGAGTGCTCAGGGACCTTGTAATATTTCCTGGAGATGGACACTAAAATTTCCTAAGGAGCAGAATGCCCAGTGAATGGGAGACGACCTTCTGAGGTTGGAAGAGGTTAAATGGACTCATTTAAATCTTTCCAATGAAAGCTGATGGGAGGAGCAAGGTCCTTGGATGACCAATAATATTTTGATGTGACTTGGAGTTCCTGGTGGCAAATCCCTAAAATGGCTCTGAGTGCAGGGCAGGCCAAAGGGCTCATAATTATGCCCTTGAATGGCCAGTTAGCATCTACTCTTAGTTTTTGTCTTTTTTAAAGTCAAATTTAGGGACACCTGGGTGGCTCAGTGGTTGAGCGTCTGCTCAGGGTGTGATCTAGGGGTCCTGGGATCGAGTCCCACATCAGGTTCCCTGTGGGGAGCCTGTTTCTCCCTCTGCCTCTCTCTCTCTGTGTCTTTCATGAATAAATACATATCTTAAAAAATAGTTATTAAAAATAATAAAAAATAAAGTTATTAAAGTATAGTTTACACACTGTAAAATTCACCCCTCTTAGGTGTATAGTTATTTGAACTTTTTTTAGTATTGAACTTTAACAAACATATACAATCATAAAACTACCACCACAATCATAACATAGATTGTTTTTATCACCCAAAAAAGTTTCCTTATACCTTTTCATAGTCAGTCTCTCATCCTACTCCCAACCCAAGGAAATCACTCATTTGTTTTCTGTCTCAGTGTTTTGTCTTTTCCAGAATGTCACATCAATGATATAATACAGTACACTGCCTTCTGTGTCTGGCACAGTGCTTTTGAGATTCATCCACATTGTTGCTGCTTGTATCAGTAGTTTGTTCCTTTTTGTTGCTAAATACTAGTCCCATTGTCTGGGTGAACCCCAATCTGTTTATTCACCAGATGATGGACATTTGGGTAGTTTCCACTCTTTGGTGATTATAAATGAAATTGCTGTAAGCATTACGCAGGCTTTTTGTATGGGTAGATGCCTTCATTTTTCCTGGATAAGTACCATGAGAAGGATTACTGAGATATGTGATAATTGTATATTTAACTTTATGAGAAAATATAAATGCTCCCCATCCTCACCAGTATTTGGTGTTGTGGTTTTTTAAAAACCCATTCTAATAGATATGTAATAATCATCATGTTATGTTTCAATTTGCATTTCCCTGATAACTAAGATTCCGAATTTTTAAAAAATATTTTATTTATTCATTTGAAGAGAGAGAGAGCAGAGCAGGAGGGCAGTTGCAGAGAGAGAAGCAGGTTCCTCGCTGAGAAAGGAGCTCAACTCAGGGCTCAATCCCAGGACCCCAGGATCATGACCTGAGCCAAAGGCAGACTCTTAACTGACCAAGCCACCCAGGCACCCCAGAGTCCAAATTTTTTAATGTCACTCTGGTCTGGACTGAGGTTGGGGGATTTGTAGAATGGACTGGATTTTATTATTTTTTTTAAAGCCAAATAAAGAGACACTTTTCATTTGTTATCTTGGAGTGATTAGAAAGGCCATGAAGCCTGCCTCGGATTTCATCCAGGGCAGGGAAAGTCTACCTCGGGAGCAAGGACAGAGCTATCCTGTCCAGTCATAGCATGGAAGATGGAGAAAGTTCAGCCTCTTTTGGAGCAGAGTTCGATTTGCTATTATAGTTTTGTTCTTTAGTAGTTGTGTGACTTTGGGCAAGCAACATAACTGCCTTGAACTTCAGTGTCTCCTGCTATAGAATGGGGTAATAACTCAGAGGTAAGTTTTTGCTGAGTTAGAGATACTGTCCTCCTATCATCATCATTATTATTAATAATAATTTTATTTATTTATTAATGAGAGACACAGACACACAGAGAGAGGCAGACTCCATGCAGGGAGCCCGATATGGGACTCAACCCCGGGTCTCCAGGATCAGACCCTGGGCCGAAGGCGGCACTAAGCCGCTGAGCCACCCGGGCTGCCCCATCATCGTTAATAATATTATTAATTTGCCTCTATAAAGGCTCACTCGGCTGCAACACAGTAAATTCTTTCCTTGTTTCTTTCCCAAGCCAGTTGCTCATAAAGGGCAGGCCTTGTGCCTGAAGACCCGCATGCACCCCATCCTGGACGCAGTGTTAGTAAATTCCAGTCCTGCGACACATTTGTTGAAATAGATGGGCTCACACGGATTCTCAGGGAAGGCCGGTGGCCAGAACAGAGCTGTGGGACTCGAGGGACCTCCAGCCCTCATCAGGCCAGGGAGGTGCTTTCCTGAAGCTTGGGGCCAGTGGCTGGAAAAACAAGGGTTTTGCCCTTGCCTGGTGATGTGGGTTTGACAGGTCAAATAAAGGGAACCAAGAAAGCAGATGCTCAGAGGAAAAAAAAAGGGGGGGGGCCGGAATGGGGAGGATAGGGTTTGACAAGGACGAAACTCAAGGGAGAGGGCTGGCTGAGAATGTACGGGCCGGCAGGCGTGGGGACCAGTGGTGAGGATGCGGCGGGGATCGCGAGGCGGGGCGGGCGCGGAGGCTCGGGGTCGAGCCGTGGAGCATCATCCAGGAGCCGGCTCCCGGCGCGGGCAGCGGGCGGCGCGGGGCGCGGCAGGTGCGGGGGCGGAGCCACGCGGGGGGCGGAGCCACGCGGGGCGGGGCGGGGCCCGGAGGGGGCGGGGCCGGCGCGGGGCGGGCAGGCGGGGTGCGGCGCTCCTCTCCTGCGAGCGCAGCGGGGGCCGCGGAGCCGGAGCTGGATCCGGAGCCGGGGCCGGGGCGGGAGTCGGGGCCGGGGCCGGGCCGGAGAGGGCTCCAGCGCTATGGGGTCGGCCGACTCTAAGCTGAATTTCCGAAAGGCGGTAATCCAGCTCACCACCAAGACGCAGGTGCGACCGGGGCCCCGGCCTCCCACCCACCTGCCGGGCTGGGGGCTGGGCAGGGCCGGGGGGCTGCGCGAACTTGGCTCGTGAGGAGATGGGGGACCCGCTGGCCTGCGGCCTCACGCTGAAGCCAGGTCCGGAGCGCCACCCGTTGGCCTGTCCTCCGGGGCTTCATCCCTTAGCCGCAGCCCCTCACCCCAGCCTTCTCTCCCGGGAATATCCCTCTTCCCGCAGCCGCCGCTGCCACCTTGGGCTGACGTGTGCCTACTCTCCGAGCCGGCATCGCCGCTATCCGCCACCTGTCCTGCCGCCTCCCCCCCACCCCCACCCCCGCTCCCGCCCCTCCAGCCCCGCATCTTCAGCTTCACCCTCACTCCCGCCCCCACCCACCCATCCGCCTCCCTGCTCCCCTCCCTGCCCCTCGGTGCCCGCGGTTCCTGGACGCACAGACCCGGCTGATTCAATGCAAACAAAGCCGAGCAGGCGCCTACCGGGTCGGGGAAACAGCTGGTGCGCGGAGGCAGCGGCCTCGCTGGGCCCAGGTCGATGCCCAGAGCCAGGGAAGGCCCAGGTCTTCCTGAGAACGTGCAAAGAGTGCGAGCAGAGCTGCAGCCTAGCAGAGGGTCCTGTTCCCAGGCCCGTGGAGTCCAGTTTCCCAGCTGGGGAACACTGCTCCAGGGGGCTCCTCCTCTGAGGCCCAGCAGTGGGGATAGCTGTGTTTTCAGGTACCCTCTGTTCCCTGGGTCAGGGCTGAGAACCCTCCAGATTGTCTTTGACTGGCTGGTGTAGGGTCTGGGGGTGACTTTCAGCCAGTCCATGCTTGCACAGTCCCCTGAGTTCACAAGTGGCACCGAGGCCACCTCCTTGCCCCCACCACACAGGACCTGGCCCCAGCAAGGCTCCTTCCCTGCCCTACCCCTTCTGTCCTTACCCCTCGAATCAGGCTGCTCTGGCCACAGAGATGCCCAGCCCTGACTCCCCAGAACCCCCACTTTTAAGGGACTCAGCACCTGCTGCCATCTGGGACTTTCCTCTTTCCCTTACCCTGAGGGCTCTTGGCAGTTAGAGTGGGATTGAGGAAGCCATCTTCCCACAGCCAGTTGTTCGCAGCTCCAGAGGCCAGACCTCTGGTCCTACACTCTCTCATTCCCACGAGAGAAAGGTCAGGTGCCTGGCAAATGCCCAGGGGCTCTGGAGAATCCAGTCCTGGCTAAGAGGCATTTGATAGAAACCAGACTTTGCTTCTCGCCACTTCCCTAATGACTCCTGGGTAGTTCTAGCACTTGGCTTTATCGGGGCTTCTAAGTCTGTGGGTAGCAGGTGGGCCAGCCCCACAATGTGGGGCCACACGGAGTGGCAGGAGGGAGGCTCCCATGTTTACCTACCTACCTGGGGAAGGAAACACATTGTTGGAGGAATGAACCATGGGCTGTTAGCTTAGTAGGCAAGGTCCTTTGCCGGGCCAGCAGGACTAGCTCAGCTGGGCCCCAGAGATCTGGGTGGACTAGATTCCTACCTGTGCTGGCCCTCTCCCCCAAATACAGTGTACCTCTGGCTTTCCCTGGCTATAGCACTGCTATGGGGATGACTGAGATGGTGCTGTCCTGTTTCCTAGCTGAGGACAGTGAGTTGGCTTGGGTCAAGACTGGAACCAGATACCAGGCTGGGTCTCCCTCCAGAGACCTGTGGGGCCCTGCAGGTGGGAAGGTGGGAGAGACTCTGAAGCTTCCTGTCCTGTGTAGTGACCTGGCTCAGGCAGCTGAGGAGTGAAGACCAGATCCCAGATGGTCATTCCAGAACCTTGCCATTCAGTGTCCCCAAGGAGATTCATGCCAGCTGTCCACAGGGTGTCCTCCAGTCCCAGACCCTTAGAGGCTAGGCCATGAACACAGATGTTTGTTCTGGGCAGCAGACAAGACCACCCAACACCTTTTCCTGTGGCCTGGGTATGAGCGGCGACTGCTGGGCTTCCCTGCTTTCCTGCGCTATATCCTGTTTTCTTCCTGTCCTGGGCTAGTCCTGAGGCTTAGCAGTTTTGGCTGTGTTTCCCAAGCCTTTCCTGGGGTGGGTGGGGCCCTAGAGGGAGGACATTCCTGGACCTGGGACCCTTTCTTAGATCCTATCTTTTTGGAGACTCTCTGCCATAGACCAGGTGAGACCTGATGGGTCCATGTATACATGTGTGTATGTGTATGTGAATGCTGTGGTGACGCAGTCCTCCAGGACAGGTCACCCTTAACAGGCTAGAGCACTTGTACAGTCCTTTGCTCCCCTTCACCCCAAGAAAGTTCAAAAGATGCACCAGGACTCCCAAGCCAGTGGGGGGTCTGGCCTGAACAGAGGCTGGTGAAGCTAGGGTAAGAATATCTATTTTTGGGTGCCTGGGTGGCTCAGTGGTTGAGCGACTGCCTTTTGGCTCAGGTTGTGGTCCCGGGGTCCTGGGATAGAGTCTTGCATCAGGCTCCCTGCAGGGAGCCTGCTTCTCCCTCTGCCTGTGTCTCTGCCTCTCTCTGTGTCTTTCATGAATGAATGAATGAATGAATGAATGAATGAATGAATAACTAACTAACTAAATAAATAAATCCTAAAAGAAGAAAGAAAGAAAGAGTATCTGTTTTCCCACCAGGATAGCTCAGTCCCTGTGCCCTGGTAGCATGGGCCTTCTATCTTGTGGCAAAAAAATTCTTTTCAAACAAACTGGCTTGGATTTTATTTATTTATTTTAAGATTTTATTTATTTAAGAGAGAGAGAAAGAGTACACAAGCAAAGGGAAGAGTCAGGGTATGGGGGAGGGGGGAAGCAGGTTCCCCTGCTGAGGCAGGGAGCTCAGTGCAGGATGCTGGGTTCCATCCCAGGACCCTGGGATCATGACCCAAGCAGAAGGCAGACACTCAACCGAATGAGCCACCCAGGCGCCCCTGGCTTGGATTTTAGAAGCTTCCTTGGGCTCTGTGGAGCCCAGCTGGGATAACTGGGACAGGAGCTGAGCCTTGTTTCTCCCCTCAGAAGCCTAAGGGGATCCAGTGACCCTGGCCAACACCTGGAGCATCAGACTAGCCTGCTATAGCCGGGTGAGGGTCATCAAGCTGAAGTGTCCAAGCCAGAGTGGGAGCTGGAGGGCTGGGACTCTCCTCTGCTTCTCAGCTGGGCTAGCCTGGAGCTCCCTAAGTCTCCTTTTAAGTCCCCTCATTTGGAATTCAGTCTCTAGGTGACACTTGCCTGATGAACTAGACCAGAGGTCAAGTCTACTGGTGCTCAGATGAAGTTCTCCTCCTTTAAGGGGATTGTGGCACCTTAAGTTAGAGGAGGTGGTAAAAGTGTTAGAGAAGGGAGCTTCTCAGAGGAGCTCCCGGGTTTTCAAGGATGTCCTTCCCCACCCCAGCCCTGGCCACCCACACTGGGGGGTGGCACCCCTTGACCCCAGTGACTGTCAGAGGGCTACCCTAGCTGAGGACAGGAGGGCCAGCAAACCCTAGCCTCAGGGCACCTCCTTTGGCCTTTGTCCCCCCCCCCCCCAGCTAACTTGCTCTACCAGTTCTGGGACTGAGCAGGCCCTGGTACCAGGCCTGTCTTGCGGGCCATGGCCACATGCTGCCCTGTGACTTGGAGGTGGGGGCATTACTTTGGGAGGGGGCCAGGGTATACCGGGACCTCAATGAGGCTTTCAAACCCAACCCTGAGTTTGGACAGCCCCACTGGTGCTCAGGCTTGCCCAGTGACTGGGTTGAAGGGATCTTTGGGACTAATGACAGCCTTTCCCTGAATAAACATTGGCTGAGCATCTGCCATCTGCCCCTACTGCAGGGTAAGGAAAGAAGGGCCTAATGGAACCCTGAGGCAAGTGCATTGAGATGCCTGGAATCAGGGCCTAGGATGAAGGAGTAAGAGTGGGGACCCAGGTTCCAAGGTGGGAACAAGCCCTTTGGTCCAGAGCTCAGGGAGGATTCTGGGAAGAAGGGGCATAAGAGAACAAGGCTATTTTTATTCATTCATTCATTCATTCATTCATTCATTCATTCAAGACACAGAGAGAGGCAGAGACACAGGCAGATGGAGAAGCAAGCTCCCTGCAGGTAGCCCGATGTGGGACTCGATCCCAGGACCTCAGGATCATGACCTGAGCCAAAGGCAGACACACAACCACTGAGCCACCCAAGTGTCCAAGAGAACAGTTATTTTTAAACAAGATATATATTTTTTTCTGGTGGTCAGATTAAGGCACGCCTGGGTGGGTTTGGGTGATCGCAGGGCTGTATCAACCCTTTCAGACAAGGGAGAAGGCCAGGCTGATGGAGCACCCGGGGTCTCTCGCAGCAGCTCCTCTTCAGAACATGCCTTGGGCACCCTGGCCTCTCAGCAGGTGAACATTCAAAAGGAAAAAAAAAAAAAAACAGTAATCCGTGTGGTTGCAGAAAAATATAAGTAAAAAAAAATAAAAACTATCCAGAGAGATCATCGCTGGGGCATTCCGTCATTTTCGTTTAGGCTTTTATTACTATGTAATTTAGCAAAGATCCTGACCATCCTGTAGTTAGTGTTACACCTTATCTTTTTCACAGTATTGTAACCGTGAAGCATTTTTCATTCATTAAGAGTCCTTGGCAACATGGCTCTGGTGGTTGCATAATATTCCATTCCATGAAAGGGCCTAATTAACTCTTTCGAGTGTTCCCTGCTTGTTGGTTATTTAGGTTCATTCCAACTTCTCGCTATTGCCAATAACAACACCTCAGTGAATCTCCTTATCTGTGCACATCCCTGATCATTTCCTTAGGAAGGATTTCTAGAAGTGGAGCTTATGGTTCCAGTTGGTTCCCTACGTGACTGCCCATATGATTCAAAAGGCACAAGTGTGCCTATGTCCTCCATAGGACCAGTGGGACTTTGGAATGTGTTAGAAGGGTGGGCCTGTGGGGAAGACCGGACCGTCCGAGCAAAGGCAAAGAGATGTTGTGACGGCTTTGTGTTGTAGGGGTTGCAAATACAGGTGTGCAGGTGCCCACGTGCAACATGTGTGCATGCATGTAGGTATGTTAAATAAGATCGTGGCTTATGGTCTGGTCCAGGTTTGGACTCAATCCTGCAGGCAGCGAGGAGCCCCAGAGGTTTTTGTTGAGGCAACAGTGGTTTGGGTGCTGTACTTTGAACATGGGTTGGAGGCGGTATGGAGACAGGGTTGAGGACGTAAATTTGGAGGTGGGGCCCTGAGAGGAGCAGGTGCAGTCAGAGAGAGCCGTGGGGGTTGCCTCCTTTAGATTTGGCATCTGTTGGGTGTGCAGGGAGAGGATGGAAGCTGCGGCTGAGGCGGGGGTGGACAGTGAGGCTGGGCTTAGGTGCAATAAGCATACATCCCCTTGCCTTCTTCCATTGGGGAGGGTCACAACCTGGGTCTGGTCCCCAGGCACTTGACCTAGCAGCAGGGCCTGGGGAGGTCCCCTGTGGGGAGGCTCTGCCAGAGGAGGATGGTGAGTTACCCCATCCCTCAGGGTCTGAGTTAGGCTTTGGCTGCCAAACTCAGTGCCTGGCTGACCTCTGACATCCATGGCGAGTGTCTCTAGCCTGCCTCTGCCAGCCGGGGTGCACAATGGCCCCCACATGGGAGGGCTTCTGGGCATAGCAGGGATGGAATAGGGGGGCCATGGTTTCCCCTTTGGGGTTCCTTTGGCTACAGACTGGGCGAACTGTGGGCCTGGTGGCAAGGGGTAGTGTAACAACCCTGGACACACCGGATCCCCCCTCCAGCCTGTGGAAGCCACCGATGATGCCTTTTGGGACCAGTTCTGGGCAGACACGGCCACCTCAGTACAGGATGTCTTTGCACTGGTGCCAGCGGCAGAGATCCGGGCTGTGCGGGAGGAGTCACCCTCCAATCTGGCCACTCTGTGCTACAAGGTGAGCATAAGGTGCTCTGCCCTTCGCTGCCACTCCCTGCTGAGCCATTTCCCACCTTCCAGGGGAGGCTGAAGCTGGCCCAGCCCTGTGGATCCAGAGAGCGGGCACCCCTGACATCCCACCTGTCTGGGTCTGGGCAGTCTCGAGAAGTACCTGCTTCTCCCCACTGGCTGGGCTCTGGGTGGGGGGTGGGAAGTGATGCTGCAGCCACCCTCTGTGAGGGCTTCCTTGGGGCTCTTGCTGCGTACTTTCCACACATCAGCTCGTTCAGCTAACCCTGTGCAGTGTGGTGCTGTTAATGTCACCGTCTTACAGATGAGAGAACAGAGAGGTGGTCACTTAGCAAGGTGTCAGCCAGTGAGTGGTGGGCGGGGTCTCCGGGGATGCTCTAGGCTGCTCTCTGGCCCACTTCCCGTCCCCCTGGGCTGGCTGACCCTGTCTGTCTCTGCCCCTCTGAAGCCTGGGGTGCCCATCCTGACCCCAAGCACCAGGTCCCCGCTCCCCACCCTTCCAGTGTGCCCCTCCGCCTGTCCCCACAGGCTGTGGAGAAGCTGGTGCAGGGAGCCGAGAGTGGCTGCCATTCGGAGAAGGAGAAGCAGATTGTCCTGAACTGCAGCAGGCTCCTCACCCGTGTGCTGCCCTACATCTTTGAGGACCCCGACTGGAGGGGCTTCTTCTGGTCCACAGTGCCCGGGGCAGGGCGAGCAGGGGTCTGTGGACCTGGTTGTGGGGCTGGGTGGGAGGTGATGGGTGTGGGGTTTGGGAAGGACAGGGGAAGGGGAATGGGGTTTGCTGCCGAGGGGGGGTCATCTCCCACAGGAATGTCTGCCCTTTCAGCTGGGCAAGCGTGGCGACAGGGCAGCTGGGCACTTCCCCCTCCTTAGCTTCCCCCTCCCTGGGTTTATCTCCAGGCAACCGGCTAAGGGCAGGACCCTGGTGATTCCCAGCAGGGCTGAGCCTCTAGAGTTTTAGGGACCTGGCCTGGCTCCTTCCAGTCAGTGGAGAGGTTTCTTCCCAGGTCCCAGCCTCGTTCCTGCTCTGGCCCCCTTCTGCCTTAGGAAGTTTGGGGTGGTTGGGAATCTACTTTTCCTTCTGCTTCTTCCTCCATCCCTCTGCCCATGGGTACCTGCCTGGGCCCAAATCTAACCCCTTTCCCACCTCCAATTCCTGGGGCCACGTCTCCTTGGCCAGCAAGCACTGAGGCAGCCTGTGTGCTATGTCCTGACCAGGGAGAGGATGATGATGAGAATGCCCGGCCCCTGGCTGAGTCCCTGCTCCTGGCCATTGCTGATCTCCTCTTCTGTCCAGATTTCACTGTCCAGAGCCACCGAAGGAGCACTGTGGTGAGAGGCCCCCCCAATCTCCCAGTCTCAGGCCTGGGAGGGCTTTGGTCCTAGGTTGGGGGTGGTTGAAGTTCCCTTGGGCAGGACGCTGTGGGGGCAGGGCCACTCTGGAAGAGCTGGGCAGGTCCAGGGAGGGGCCAGGGACTGGCACAGCTGGAGAGGAGCCAGCTGGTGCCTGGCCCTGCCCCCTGTATCCGGGAGTCAGGGCACAAGCACCCATTGTCCTCGCCTGGGTGGTGGGTGGGGGTGTGGGGCTTGGACACAGGAGGTCTGGCCTGCTCACTTCCTGTGGGCCCAGGGACTCCACTTCTGGTATTTTCTGCTCCCACCGCCCCCCACCACCAAATGCACCCAATCCCATTCCCCTCCCTCCCTATCACTCTCTCCCTGCCTTGAGCTGGCCTGAGCAAGTAAAAGAACCGGAGAAGAAAAATTAGCTTTCAAGAGATTGAGAACATTAATTTCTTCCCTTGTGCATTATCACCTGGGGCATTTGGAGGGTCTGTCTCTGCCCCCAGGGACGACAGCGGGGGGACTTGGGTTGGCCACTCCCCGCCTGAGCGTTCCCAAACCATGTGCCCAGGACTCAGCGGAGGATGTCCACTCCCTGGACAGCTGTGAATACATCTGGGAGGCTGGTGTGGGCTTTGCTCACTCCCCTCAGCCCAACTACATCCACGATGTGAACCGGTGAGTTTTGCTCGGACCCAGAACTCACAGTGTAGCTGGACTTGGGGCCAGGCCCCCCTGCTCTCCAGCTCAGAGAGGGAACCGTGCATGGGGTCTTTCAAAGAGACCCTGTCCACTCATGACCCAACATCAGCCTGCCGGGGATAAAATGGGGTCATGTCTTTTCATGGACTTGGAGCTGGGGCCAGCAGGGTGGGCATGCCCTCCTGGAGGAGATTGGAGATCTTCAGGTACTGAACCCCCTGCCCTGATCCCCCCTCCCTAAGGATGGAGCTGTTGAAACTGCTGCTCACATGCTTCTCTGAGGCCATGTACCTGCCCCCAGCCCCGGACAGCGGCGGCACCAACCCGTGGGTGCAGTTCTTTTGTTCCACGGAGAACAGGTGAGGGGCCCTCCAGCTTTCTTTCCATTCTCTCCTTGCTCCAGGCAGCCCCGGGGAGAGGCCGTGCTCCCTTAGTCTTAGTTGAGGGGAGGTGCTGCCGCCTGGTGGTGATGGCTTATAAGAGTTAGTCGCCGCTCGTTAGTCCCCCATGGTCCAAAGTCCCACTGGGCGACCCTAGTGACTAGTGCCTGGGTCCTCCATCCCGAGCTGTGCTGTACAGCAGAAATATGATGCAAACCACAGATGCAAGTTGACCACTTCTAGTGGCGACATGAAAAAAGTAAAAAAGAGGTGAAATTAATTTTAATATTTTGTTTAACCCAATATACACCAAATAGCATTGGACAGGTGATCAGTATGCAGAATGATTGAGATGTTTCACATTCCCTTTTCAAGCTAAGTTTTCTTTTTTTCTTTTCTTTTTTTAACTTATGATAGTCACAGAGAGAGAAAGAGACATAGGCAGAGGGAGAAGCAGGCTCCATGCACCGGGAGCCTGACGTGGGATTTGATCCCGGGTCTCCAGGATCGCGCCCTGGGCCAAAGGCAGGCGCCAAACCGCTGCGCCACCCAGGGATCCCCCAAGCTAAGTTTTCAAAATCCGTTTTGTGCAGTTTACAGTCCCAACACCTCTCAATGCAGAGGAGCCACATTTTAAGCTCTCAGTAGCAGCAGGTGGCTTGTAGCTGGCTGGCAGTGCGGTTGAGACAGTGGTCGGGGAGAGGGCATCGTGAATACTCTGAAGGGTGGGGAAGCCTGACCCACACAGGGCTGCTCCTGGGCTCTGCGGGCACAGAGGGTACGTGGAGGTGTCACTTGGTGGGGCTGAGTATGTAAAGGCTGCGAGGGCAGCACCGGAGTTAGTGGTCCTGGGAGGCGTGGCTCACCTTCTGATTTCCAGACCCTCATTCCCACATGGCAGGCGTTACTCATCCTTTGGATTTTCCTGGCCTTCTGCTCAACTTCCCCCCTCGCCCTGCCCCCAGAAGAGAAGGGAAGCCAGGCAACTCTCTCCAGCAGCCACGGTCAAAAGCTGGCCAGAGTTTGTTTGTTTTTTCTCATCAGGAGTATCAGGCTTTGCCACTCACTTAACCTCTCTGGGTCTCAGTTTCCTTGCCTGTAAGATAAGGAGCTTGAACCCTGACATCTTACAAATCTCTGAATGATGTCACTCTGTGGCCTGGGACCTGGGTGACTGAGCGCATGTTCTGCTCCCCGAGGGGAAGCCCACCTCCCGGTGGGACTCCAGTCCCTGCTTTGAAGCTCCAAGGCAGGACACCTGCCCCTCAGAGACCTGAGCCCGTAGACTGTGCAGCACCGCGAATGAACCCTAATGTAAACTCTAGGCTGACGGCGTGTCCCTGTAGGTCCATGGATTGTAACACACATGCCACTCTGCTGTGGGATGTCAGCAGTGGGAGAGGCTGTGCACAGGTGGGGGCAGAGGCTCAGGGGAATCTCTGTTCCTCCCTCGTGATTTTGTTGTGAACCTAAAATTACTCTAAACATAGTCTTAATTAAAAAAAAAAAAGGCTTTAGCTCTGGGAGGAAAAATCTAAGGCATGTGGACATGATTTCCCACATAACTAGCCACCCCCGTCTTGGTAATAAATTCCTTTGCTCTTGGCCTAGCCTGGCCTGGGTCCCGGATGCAGAAAAGGCAGGGAGGGGTGTCTTTGACTCAGGAAGGGATGAGCTTGGTTCTGCTTTCTGGCTCCCAGCCTAGAGCTAGCACGGAAATGCTTGTTCAGTGAGGAGGTAGCTTGACTGACCATCCCATGTGGCCACCTGAGGGGTGGACAACGCTGGCCTGGGTGGTCTCCATGCCTTGTTCCTCTCCTTCCGCAGACACGCCTTGCCCCTTTTTACCTCCCTCCTCAACACTGTGTGTGCCTATGACCCTGTGGGCTACGGGATCCCCTACAACCACCTGCTCTTCTCTGACTACCGGGAACCCCTGGTGGAGGAGGCTGCCCAGGTGCTCATTGTCACCTTGGACCATGACAGTGCCACCAGCGCCAGCCCCACGGTGGACGGCACCACCACAGGCACTGCTATGGATGATACGGACGTAAGGATGGGTGTGGGGGGTGGAGGGCAGCTGGCCCTGCCAAGCTCTGGGCACTCCCTTTAGTAGCGCTGGGTAGGGGCTATCCAGTGGGCACCTCCTGGTGAGCCTCGGGGTGCCTGAGGGGGGATTGCTGCCCCCACCTGGGCTGAGGTAGTGGCCAGGGGTGAAACCACCTGCTTATCCCAGGCTCCACCCTTGGCAGCCTCCAGGACCTGAGAACCTGTTTGTGAACTACCTGTCCCGCATCCATCGTGAAGAGGTGAGCGGAACCCTGCTCTTGCTCCAGTGGATTCTCAGTGCCCACCTGCCACAATGATTATGGCCTTGCAGGGGGGAGGGGATGGTGATGAGATGGGGTAAGAGGAGTCCTGACCATGGTCCCTGTGGGCTTGGCCACCCCAATGAAATAGTGATGGCAGGACTTCAAAGGTTTTGAGATGCAGAAAAGAGCTGAAGGCCTCAGGTGAGTAGGGACAACTGGGCAGGCTTCCAGGAGGAGGTGGCTCTGATATCTGACTTTGGTGAGGGGAATGGTAGTGGACTCAAAGGCCAGGCAGCCCTGAGTTCATGTGTCTTGTGACCTTGGGGGAGATTGTGCTCCCAAAGCTCTGACTTCTGCTGCTGTAACATGGGGATGGTAACTGCTTCCTTGCCTTTTTGGGAGGGTTACTTGTAGCTTTCGCTTAGTGACAGCTCTTTGAGAATAGTAGAGTGCATTTCTGATGTGACAGGGAGATGGGGGTATGGCATCTGTCAACATGGGGTCCAGGTGGGTCGGGTCTGGGTCAACGTGTGGGTGAGGGGGGTCACTACGAGCAGCTTTGCTCAGGAGGGGAGCCCATGGTCTGGGGAAGGGGCAGGGGTTCCCTCCAGACCTGCTTTGGACTCAGCTTCCTGAGGGCCTGCCTCAGGACAGCTCCTGATGATGGAATCTGGGCCTTTCAGGCTTTAGGGATGGGACCAGGCTGTGTGTGTGTGTGGTGGGGGGGGTGAGGAGGCCTTTGTGCAGGAGCTGGACTGGACAGGTCCCTACCGTCCCCTACTCAGGATTTCCAGTTCATCCTCAAGGGCATAGCCCGGCTGCTCTCCAATCCCCTGCTCCAGACCTACCTGCCCAACTCCACCAAGAAGATCCAGTTCCACCAGGAGCTGCTGGTCCTCTTCTGGAAGCTCTGTGACTTCAATAAGGTGGGCTGGCCTCAGGCCCCTCTTGGTGGGCAGTGGTCAGCTCTGAGCAGGAGAGCGGCTACTATGGATAGCCCAGGGGTGGGGGCAGCATCTGGGGAGGCCCCCCGGGAACGGTGAACAGGTGGGGGAGAGCGGTCTCCTCTCTGACCTTGCCCACCTGTTCCCTCCCCTCTGCCCCCAGAAATTCCTCTTTTTTGTACTGAAGAGCAGTGACGTGCTGGACATCCTGGTCCCCATCCTCTACTTCCTCAATGATGCCCGAGCGGATCAGTGTAAGGCTGGGGTGGGCATGAGGTCCTGGGGGCTTCCTTGTAGAGGGGCGGGGCCGGCCGGTCTGTGCTGCCTCCGGGGAGTGCAGACTGGGGCTCTGACCTCCCAGCAAGGGCTTCTTCCAGGGCTCCCCGGATGGGTCCCCACCCTGTGTGGTGACTTCCCCCTGTACCACATGCTGCAGCTCGGGTGGGCCTGATGCACATTGGAGTCTTCATCCTGTTGCTTCTGAGCGGGGAGCGGAACTTTGGGGTGCGGCTGAACAAGCCCTACTCAGTGCGTGTGCCCATGGACATCCCGGTCTTCACGGGCACCCATGCAGACCTGCTCATTGTGGTGAGGGGGCTCCCTCAGCCAGGCCCTGGGGCCGTGGGGGGACGTCCTTTTGGCTGAGTCTGGAGGAGGGGACCCCATGGTCACCCCTCTGCCTCCCGGCACAGGTATTCCACAAGATCATCACCAGCGGTCACCAGCGCCTGCAGCCCCTCTTCGATTGCCTGCTCACCATCGTGGTCAACGGTAGGGGTGCGGGGAGCCCGCCTTCCCTGTGCACACCACTAGGTGGCGCCAGGCCACAGGCTGACCTCAGGCTGGCCCTCCCCAGGTCAAACCTGCCCAGTCCAATAAGCGATATGATGGCAGCCACAGACGGACTGGGCAATTTTCTAGTAGCCCTATTAAAGAAAGAAAGAAAAACAGGTGACAACAATTTTATGATATATTTTATGTAATCCACTGTATCCCAAACACCATCGTATGAACATGTAACCCCCCCAAAAGTATTGGGATCTTTGACATTCTTTTTCATACCTAGTCATCAAAATCCTGTGTGTTTCACATGTGCAGTACATCTCTGTTAGAACTAGCTATGTGTCAAGGGTTTATGTCTTCGATTTTTAAATTTTTATTTTATTTTTTTAAAGATTTTATTTATTTATTTATTCATGAGAGAGACAGAGAGAGAGGCAGAGACACAGGCAGAGGGAGAAGCAGGCTCCATGCAGGGAGCCTGATGTGGGACTAGATCCCGAGACTCCAGGATCATGCCCTGAGCCAAAGGCAGATGCTCAACCGCTGAGCCACCCAGGCATCCCCGATTTTTAAATTTTTTAAAAAGGTTTTATTTATTTATTCATGAGAGACACACAGAGAGAGGCAGAGACACATGCAGAGGGAGAAGCAGGCTCCCTGTGGAGAGCCTGATGCGGGACTCGATCCCAGGACCCTGGGATCATGCCCTAGGCCGAAGGCAGATGCTCAACAATTGAGCCACCCAGGTGCCCCTGTGTCAAGGGTTTAATGGCCACACGTGACCCGTGGCTACTGTATTGGCCAGTGCAGGTTTGGACAGTGTGGTCTCAGGGCAGCGGGGTGTGCCCTACCTTCCAGCGAGGGCTGGGGACAGCTGCCTCCGAAGCGAGGGGCTCAGGCTGGCTGGGGTGCTGGGCCCGGCATGGTGGGTCGCTGGGAGCTGAGGCAGGGTGACTTCAATGTGGCCATCTTTTGGAGAGGACTGTCTTTGGTGGGAGTGGTTTGGAGTAGGGTTCTGGAGGCTTCTCGCTGTGTTGTCAGTTCCGGGGCCAGAACCCTGCCTTTCCTTCCCGGTGCATTCCCTGGGTCCGTCTCACACATTTTAACTGAGCCCTGGTTAAGGGTGGCTGGCTCTGAGAACGCGCTGCCCCAGCCTGGTGAGGGAGGGGGACGTGAGACAGGAAAGCGCACAGATCCCTATGTGACTTCAGGCTGGGCACAGCGTCTCATCTCAGATTCCCCCTCCCAGACTCTGCCAAAAAATAAGCTTCTGATTCTGTATGGAGTCTTGTTATTCCAGTTGGATATTCCAGAAAGACTTAAAGACCCTAACTTTGTATCCTTGCCCCGTCATTTTATAACCGGGAACTCTGGGCAAGTTTACAAACCTGTCTGAGGCTCAGTTTCTCCGTCTGTGAAATGGGGCTGGTTTCCTCCATGTCCAGCCCCCTTTCAGAAGTGTGGGCAGGAGTGGGCCACGTGCTGTGTGTAAGGGGCTCTGTAAATAGTGAGGCTGTCCACATGATGGAGGGATGAGGTGGGGCGCCCCACACTGCCTCCTGGAGCTCTGCAGAAGGCACTGCCAGTGTGGCCTCAGACTCCAAGGGCTTGGTCTTCCTGGCTTTGTAGGAGACTTTACAGGCAAGGGGCAGGAAGGGTTTGACAGTGGGAGCATCTTGTCCCGCTCAGGCCCAGGGTGTGCAGGGATGGCCCGGGAGGGGGCCCAGGAGTGACCTGGCTCCTCCCCTGCAGTGTCCCCCTACCTCAAGAGCCTGTCCATGGTGGCTGCCAATAAGCTGCTGCACCTGCTGGAGGCCTTCTCCACCACCTGGTTCCTCTTCTCTGCTGCCCAGAACCACCATCTGGTCTTCTTCCTCCTGGAAGCCTTCAACAACATCATCCAGTACCAGTTTGATGGTGAGGCGGCAGCCTAAGCCCTGGCCTGGCCTCTGGGGTAGGAATCAGGACGGGCAGTGTGCGAGGACACCTTCCCATCTAAGGAGGGCAGACCGCTCTGCCCCTCACTCCTCCCTCATTCATTCAACATGCATTTTTTGAGCATCTGCTGCATACCCAGCCCAGTGCTGGGTGCTGGGGATACAGTGGAGAGCAGAGCAGAATGCTCCCTGCCCCATGGAGCTCACAGCCGGGGATGGAGACATGGAGGGGGCTTTAAACAGATGGCCACTCGGACAAACAAGTCTCCTTAAATCTGATGAAAAAGAAGCTCAGAGTGGTAGGACCCTGATGGGTGTCGTAAATGCCACACTGCCTGCTGTGAGACCTTGCCACTTGTTAGCTCCGTGGCTGTGGGCTCATAACTTAACCTTTCAGGGCTTTAGAGAGTCTTTGGCTGTAAGACAGTCATAGCAACAGTACTAGAGCCCTTATATCTGAAGGTGTTGGGAGGATTATGTAATTACCCACAAAAACTGTCCAGCACAGTGTCTGATGACTTAGGTATCAGCAGTTACTCTTATTTCCAAAATAAGTAATATTTGCACTGATCTGTGAGGGATGAATGGAGGTGGGGTGGGGTGGAAAAGCATTGTGTGGTGGCGGTGGGGGCCCTGAGGTGAGATGTTGAAGCAGGACAGCGTAGTGAGAGGCAGGACCCGATCGCTGGGTGGGGCAGGGAGTTCAGCATGGGCACTGGAGCACAGACACGTGCCGTGTCGTCCTTCCTCCCTGGTGACCTGGCTCAAGGACATAGTCAAAATATAGAACAGCTGGCTGGGTGTGGACACTGACATGCTGGGCCTGCCCCACTTTGCCAGTGTCACCTCTTGGAATGCTGGCTTGTGGGGGGGGGGGTCTGGAAGGTACTGGCGGGGGAGCTTGGCCCAGAAGCTCTTCTCCTATAATGTAACATCCTGGTGTAGCCACAGCTGCATAGGCCACCAGGTGCCAGCTCTTCTCAGCCCCCTCTCTTGGGCACCCTGTACCATCTCCTACTCCTGGAGTTAGACACCCTCCTGTCCTCCAAACTGCCCCCTCCCAGAAACCTGCCCAGGTGGTGGAAGAGGAGGCAAGTGGGCCTCCCTGAGGTGTGGCATGCTCCCTCCCGACAGGCAACTCCAACCTGGTCTACGCCATCATCCGAAAGCGCAGCGTCTTCCACCAGCTGGCCAACCTGCCCACCGACCCGCCTGCCATCCACAAGGCCTTGCAACGGCGCCGACGGGCACCTGAGCCCTTGTCCCGAACCGGCTCTCAGGAGGGTGCCTCCATGGAGGGCTCCCGCCCCGCTGCCCCTGCCGAGCCTGGCACTCTCAAGACCAGCCTGGTGGCCACCCCAGGTCTGGCCCTGGCAGGTGGCAGGAGGATGTGGATGCCAGCACGGTTGGGGGATGAGCAGGGCCTCTGGGATGTCATCCCGTCTCTGGCAAAGGGCATGGCCTGAGAAGGGGAGCTGAGGGCATGGGGATGGCAGTAGGGGTGAGGGAGGGGGCATTGGGAGGCCCAGGAAGGCTAGCTGGGTGCTGGGTGGGGGGACTGGGCCTCAGAACTGAGTGTACAGGGATTGGGCCTAGCATCGCTAAAGTGGGTGGTGGAAAGAGGGGGCCTCATGGGGCTCAGCGCAGATGTTTTCTCAGAGGGTCTGTGGCAGGTGTTCTCACACCCACCTACTCCCACTCTCAGGCATTGACAAACTGACGGAGAAGTCCCAGGTGTCAGAGGATGGCACCCTGCGATCCCTGGAGTCCACGTCCCAGCAGAGCTCGGCAGATGGCAGTCCGGCCATGGAGGTGGGTGATGGGGACTCCTGTGATCAGGTGAGGTTGGGACGTCCCTTTCTCCCTGGCCTCTGTGGTGTGGGCTGGGCCAGGGCACTCTGGGGCCACCTGCAGCAGAGGGCAGGAACCCTGTGCCCAGGGCATCCGGGGGGGTGCTTTCATAGACCTCTCCCTTGTTTACTGGTCCCAGGCTTAAGCCCTTGGCCTTCAGACTCCTCATCCATCAACCTTATCTCAGTTGAGCTGGCCTTTACCCGACCAGCCCAGTCAGCCCCTGGCCCTAAACCTGTCATCAGGCTGGGTTGGGTTGGGCAGGGCCTGGGGCCCGGGCAAAGGGTGCTGGGCTGGGCTGTCCCCTCTGTTGGGAGTAAGTCCCCCACCAACAGGAGCCAGTAGAGAGGCCTTATTGCCTCCTGCATTCTAGGCTATGGGAGGGACTGGGAAGAAGGGCTGCTCCCCTGCCCTCCATCCCTGCTCTGTGCCCACCCCCTCTACCCCTCACTCCTGTCCCTTCCCTGGGACCAGGAGCCAGAGCAGGCATGGCGGGAACAGCGGCGACTGTCCAGCGCGTCAGCCAGTGGGCAGTGGAGCCCAACATCGGAATGGGTGAGGGTTTGGGCAGATGGCTCTGAGGTGGGGCGGGCAGGGGCTCCTGGCCCTAGGAAAGCTCAGTTAAGGCTGGCACGGGAACATGTTCAAATCCAAAATCCGGCCTGCGAGCCCGGCTCTGGGTCACTCCTTCTGGCTAGATGACCTTGGCCTCTCTGGCCTGGTTGCTTCCCCATCTACGCTGTCTAGCATTCTGCAGGGTTGAGCTTCAGCTGCCCATGGTGCTAGCTCTCTTACTAAGCTTTCCTTTCCAGCTTCTTCCCCCAAATCTGCTTGTCCACTCCCTTCTGTGTGTCCTGTGATCACTACTAATTGCACTTCCATGGGGATAAACGTCCCACTTGATCATGCCATTGTGAGGCTCAAAAAGGACAGTTTTTGGCACGAAGCATACGCTCAGTGAGAGGTCATGGCGCTTACTGTGAATAACAGTCACTGTTCATGGGCGCTGCCCTGTGCCAGGCCCTTGCTGTAGCGAGCGGGGGTGCTTCCTGCCTTGGAGAGCCTGTGGTTCTGGGTCAGGGGTCAGGCCTATGCCATTGCCCATGGGGGCTGCTTCCCCAGCCCTAGGAACCCCGGCCCCTCCCTCAGGTTCTCTCTTGGAAGTCCAAGTTGCCGCTGCAGACCATCATGAGGCTGTTGCAAGTACTCGTTCCCCAAGTGGAAAAGATCTGCATTGACAAGTGAGCACCCCAGGGGTGGGGGCAGAGGCGGCAGGTGGGCTCTGAGGTGGGGTGAGCCCAGGCTCGGCCCTGGTGTGACCGGGAGTTGGGGCCCCACACTCCCCTTGCCTTTCAGGGTGGGTTTTCCCATGTGAGCACCTTGAAACCACCCCCTCTTCCTGGCAGGGGCCTGACAGATGAGTCAGAGATCCTGAGGTTCCTGCAGCATGGCACTCTGGTGGGGCTTCTGCCTGTGCCCCATCCCATCCTCATCCGCAAGTACCAGGCCAACTCGGGCACGGCCATGTGGTTCCGCACCTACATGTGGGGGGTCATCTATCTGAGGTGGGTCTGGTGTTCCCTTGAGGGTCTGCTGGGGAGGGGCTCAGCGGGGGCCTCAGCTCTGGGTCCCACCATGGTAGTGGGGTTAATGTCAAGACAGTCAACCAAGGTGGTCTTGTCTAGTGCAGGGTGGGCACCCACTGTCTGCGGGGGGCGGGGCGAGGGGAGGCCGTCGGGGTGGAAGGAGTTTGGTACATAGCACCTCCTAGCTCCTCCCCAGCCTTTCTGTCAGGACTCCCAGCACTGCGGTGACAGCCCCACTCCCTCCACAGGAACGTGGACCCACCTGTCTGGTATGACACAGATGTGAAGCTGTTTGAGATCCAGCGGGTGTGAGGATGGAAGCCTCCCAGGGGCTGGGGACCAGGGGAGGGTAGGGGCTCTGGTCCCCCGATGTTCCCTGACCCACTGTTCTAGGCTTTGAATTACCACAGTCAGCGCTGGGGCTGGCTGAGTCCCGGGTGGCACACCCACCGTAAAGGCCCCTTGTGGCTCAGATGGTGGGGACAGGCTCTGACCAATCCCCCCTGAGGCTGGACTCACAGGAACCTCCTATCTCTAGGGCTGCAGGCCCCGGCCAGAGCCCCCACCTCACTCTGCCTCCCCCTCAAGACCCTTTCTGTGCCACCCATCCCCAGAGCCCAGCAGGTCACTGTGTCCTCATGGGCTGCCCAACAGGGAGCTATGGGCTGTCTCCTGAGGTACCTGGGTAGGGGCAGGGGCAGGGGCAGGGGCAGGTGCAGGGGAGGAGAGTCCTTCTGTGCCTCCTAACCTGAAACCACCTGGTCCAGGCCCGGCTTGCTGCCAGGGCCCGAAGGAGGAAGGAGAGTGGCCAGGCTGTTTGAGGAGGAGACTGGGGGGTTGGTGGACTACAGGAGCCAGACTGGGGAGCCTCATGCATTTTAGGGGTTTGGGAGCCTCCTGTAGAGAGTCTCCTGCTATACACTCCCTGGTGGGTTAGGATATAGCCTGACTCCCTGTTATCCAGTGTGGGGGTGGGAGGGAAGGGTGGGGAGGGAGCTGTTCAATCTTCCCTGCCCCTGCCCACTGCCTGGATGACTGGGCGCCGGAGGGGCAGGATGCCACCCCTCCATCCTCCAGCTCTGGCCTCTGGGTCTCCCTCCCCCCTACCTGTGTTAGTACAATCTTTGCTCTGTACAATCGGCCTCTTTACACAATAAACCACCCTCTCCACGTCCTGGCTCTTTGTGCTTGGAGGGGAGGGGCTGGGGCCATGGCTCGTGTCTTCAGGGGAGTGGGGGCTAGAATCAGTCCCCAGAGGGCCTTCAGCATAGGCCCAGGAACCAGCATTTGTCATTTTCTTCAGTGGGGAAGTGGAGGATTGTACTTTCTCACCCAGGGTATGGCCCCAGAGAAAAAGCCCGTGTAGGACAGGAGAGAGGATTGCTTCCCAGCCTTCTACACAGCTCCTGGGGAGGGCTCTGCTGACCCCTGGAAGCCACCAAAACAGCACTAGGGGGTCCCTGGGGCTGTGGCCCTGTGCTTGCCGGTGCAGCTCCACAGGGAGGGGCAGCAAAGCCTGGGCTACCCTCCCTGTGTTTCCCGTGGGGCCTCACCCAGGGCACAGCCCACTGTTTGCACTGGGCTCAGAGAGATGGATGGGCTGTCAGTGCCTGCCCTTTCCACCCGATGGCTCAGAGGATACAGCAGGCATGGGGATCAAACAGCCAGAGGCTGCAGTCCCTGGGGTAAGCTGGCTGCAGAAAGTCACCCGGGGCTCTGTTCCAGAGAGAAGCCTGCTAGCGAGGGGCAGGGGCATGTGAGAGCCGCAGCCCCCTCCTCACCTCCTCCCATGAATCAGACAAGAGATTAGATCCCTCCTGGCTCAGAAACAGACTGTCCCAGCCCCAAGCGGGAGAATGGTCCTTTCCCACCATACGTGGAGTGGCAGCTCTGTCCCCGAGAACAAATGTCACGAAGCCTGAATGTAATCGATCAAACAAACAGGGTTTATGGCAGCAGGAGAGAGCTGTTGAACCCTGCCTGGTAGCTAATTAATGAGCTCATTAGGAGACAGGGGACATGGGGAGAGGGAGGGCCAGGGCTGCCTTCCAGGCTGGAAGCTTCTGGGATGTCCTGGCCTGAGCTCAGACCAAGTTTCCTTCCCACAGATGGAGGCAGACCCCTGAGGCACCCCTCCTCGACTCAGGCTTCCTGGGGTGTACCCTGGGGTGTCCTGATTGTGATGGTGAGCAGGGGCAGGCATGTGCCCATCTCGGGCATGGGGTTCAGAAGCTCAGTGTCCAGGCCCAGCCCTCCGTCTTGGGCTGCAGACCTTGCCCCCAACGTGGGGGCATAAGGATCTGGGGAGGGGGAGGCTGTGCAGAACCCAGTCCAGTCTAGGCCCCCCTGCTCAGAGGCTCTGGACTACCTTCACCCCAGCCGTGGCCCTTTGAAGTTCTTCTGGGGCTTGGTCCATGGGCAGCCTCAGGCCTCCAAATAGAGCTCCACCAGCCCCCCCACGGAATGCATGCGGTAGAAGACCCCCAGAGGCAGGCCAAAGTTGACAATGGTGAACCACGTCCGGTAGCCATAGAAGTCCTTTTCCAGCCCGTTCTCAAACTCCGGGTGTATGCCAAATGCAGGCATCATCCACAGCTGGCAGGGGAGGGGGGTGGAAGGTGGAGAGGAGGGGGTTGAGTGGGGGGGCTCTCCCTGCCCCAGGGCACTCTGCTGGGGGGGGGGCAGGGCCCAAAGCACACCCCGCACCCTAACATCCCGTCCGCCCTGGGCTTTCAAAGCCAGCCGATGCTCCCTTACGCGCCCCAACCCATACCACAACCACCTTCCGGGCTTGCCAGCCTGAAGTCCCGGTGGATCACGAGGCCACGCAGCCACCAGCCATGCCCCGACCTGCTCCGTCAAACTGGGCTCCCTGTGCCCTGACCTCAGCCACCTTCTTCCCCTCTGGCTCTATTCTTCTGCCAGTCTTGACTCTCTCTGCTCCCTCCACTGGGCCCTGTCTTTTATCCAAATTCTGCCCCTTTCTCCAGGCCCAGATTAAACTTTCCTGAGCCTTCCTTAGCCCCTCCGGCCCACACTTCCTTCTCTGAGCTCCTACGGTCCTTTCAGGCCGGGTGACAACGTGTGGTCAGCCTGTCTGAGGTGTTTCGAGTGCAGAACACCTGGAACACGGTGTTCAATATGCCCTCGAATCACCCTGGTTGTCCCGGCCCTGCCACTGCCGCCCTGAGCCTCAGTTTCCCCATCTGTCACATAGGGGCAATGATGGTGCCTGATGGCGCCTGCTGCACGGGGTTAGCGTGCTGATTCAGCGAGATGCAGAGCCACAGCACCGACAGGCAGACGTGGGACTTGAGCTGCCAGACATGTTAACTGCTTCCACTCTATAGAGTTTTTAGAAAACCAGACACTTTGTGATCTCTTCCTTTGGCCAAATACAGTGGATGATCAACAATTTGGTAATTCTGGGGCAGCCCCAGTGGCTCAGCAGTTTAGCCTTGCCTTCCGCCCAGGGAGTGATCCTGGAGACCCGGGATCGAGTCCCACGTCGGGCTCCCTGCATGGAGCCTGCTTCTCCCTCTGCCTGTGTCTCTGCCCCTCTCTCTCTCTGTGTATCCCTCATGAATAAATAAAATCTTAAAAAAAAAATAGGGCATCCCAGGTGGCTCAGCGGTTTAACGCCACCTTCGGCCTAGGGCGTGATCCTGGAGACCCAGAATTGAGTCCCATGTCAGGCTCCCTGCATGGAGCCTACTTCTCTCTCTCTCTCTCTCTCTCTCTCCCTCTCTCTCTTTCTCTCTCTCATGAGTAAATAAATAAAATCTTTAAAAAAAATGGTAATTCCGGGATCCCTGGGTGGCGCAGCGGTTTGGCGCCTGCCTTTGGCCCAGGGCGCGATCCTGGAGACCCGGGATCGAATCCCACATCAGGCTCCCAGTGCATGGAGCCTGCTTCTCCCTCTGCCTGTGTCTCTGCCTCTCTCTCTCTCTTTCTTTCTCTCTCTCTCTCTCTCTCTGTGACTATCATAAATAAATAAAAAAAATTTAAAAAAATTTGGTAATTCCCTAACTGGTTCCCTGGCATCTCTCTAACTAGAGAGTGAACTTCCTGACGGTGAACATCTCACATGTTTGTGAAGAGCACTTAGCTACATGGCTGGCACATTCACTCATGCCAGGCACCTTGCAGGGTGCTGGGGCACTGCCGACAAGCAGCATGGAGCTAGTTGGCAGGAGGCATGTGTCCTTGACAATAAAAGGGACAGGCCCACCGCCCTTGGGATAGTCAGTGCTCAGTGAATGCACCTGGCCAGTTCCGCCCCCCACGCTCCCGGGCTGTCCACTCACTGTGATGTTGCAGAGGATGAGGAAGAGCGAGATCTCCTTGAGTGCCCGCCGCTTCCAGTTGAGGTGGCTGTAGGAGTGGATGTAGGCCAGCGAGGCCCGGCGCAGGTCCTGGCCCAGCTCCAGCAGGGAGTCCCGGCGGGGTGGCTCAGCCTCCCGCTTCTCGGCCAGGGCCTCGGGAGCCGACTCCCAGAGCGGGCGCCGGTGCAGGCCCTCGATGATGAAGAGGTTCTGGACGATGTGCTGCAGGATAAGCAGCAGCGAGTAGGCCAGGATGAGGCGGTTTAGCAGCTCATGGGCATGGGTGGCCACGATGGCCACGATGGAGAAGTAGGCGATGCCCATCTGGCCCAGCGCTGCGCCCATGAGCAGCACCACGTCCAGGCTGCGGGTGGGGTTCTTGAGCGTGTCCAGCTCTCGCTCCTCCAGCCCGTGGATGACCGTGCCTGCCAGGCATGCCAGGCTCATGGTGGGCAGCACAGCTATGTAGAAGGCATAGTAGAGGATGAAGTACTGGCGCGCAATGGCAGGGCCACTTGCTTGGATCTGGAAGAGCACGAAGACGCATACGCCTGCCACCAGTGCCATCAGGCCCAGCAGTGGCCCAAAGATGACCCCGTGCAGGTGGAAGGGAGGGGTGCCGCGGTGGGCACCTGGGTGGGGTGCCAGGCGGCGGCCCACGTTCTTCCACATGACAAAGAGCACAGCACAGCAGATGAGGTAGTACTCGGTGCTGAAGGGGTAGAGCATCAGGTAGCCCTTCTGGAAGACCTCGCACACCGTGGCATTGAGACACAGGCAGGTGTTGGTGTCATTGCCTGGGGGGCAGGGGGAGAGACAGTTGCACAGGGGGGCCTTGCCTGGAGTAGACCAGCTGCACAAATCAATTCCATACCCCTGGAGTCTGCCAGAGGTGGAAGGAACCCAGCCACCCATTTTACAGACATGGAAACTGAGGCCCAGAGGTAGAAATCAGAAATCATAGGATGGTCATTTATTCACAAAGGGATTCCAGATTCAGCTGCCAAGCTTTCTTTTCTTTCTTTCTCTCTTAAAGATTTCATTTATTTATTCATGAGAGACACAGAGTGAGAGGCAGAGACACAGACAGAGGGAGAAGCGGGCTACCTGCGAGGGAGCCTGATGTGGGACTCGATCCCAGGACCCCAGGATCATGACCTGAGCCGAAGGCAGATGCTCAACCACTAAGGCACTCAGGTGCCCTTCTTTCTTTCTTTTTAATAAGATTTTATTTATTTAGTTGACAGAGAGAGAGAGCACAAATAGGCAGAGTGGCAGGCAGAGGGAGAGAGAGAAGCAGGTCCGCTGCCAAGGAGAGAGCCCCACTTGGGGCTTGATCCCAGGACCCCAGGACCAAGACCCAAGTTTAAGGAAGATGCTTAACTGATTGATGCTTAACTTAACTGACCCAGATGCCCCAGTGCCAACCTTGCTTGCTTGCTTTTTAAAAAGATTTTATTTATTTATTCATGAGAGACACAGAGTGAGGGACAGAGACACAGGGAGAGGGAGAAACAGGTTCCCTCCCTCCTGACGAGGGACTCCATCCCTGAACCCAGGGATCACGCCTTGAGCTGAAGGCAGATGCTCAACCACTGAGCCACCCAGGCGCCCCAATGCCAAGCTTTCTTAAAGCATTCAGCACATGGTGTCTTTGGGGCCATATGTCACTCTACGGATTACTGGTTGGGCACAAGGGGAAATCTACAACTTTATAACAGGATGATCTGGCTGCTGTACCTGAATGCTGCCCAGCACTCACTCTGGGGAAATCAGACATCTTGCCTTGCCATGAGGTGCCCTGCAAAGCACACAGCACCCCCTGTGAAACACTGGTGCCCGGAG